CTCAGATGATTAACATTCACTGAAGGGAAAAAGTGGTAGCCTCTGTCAGTTGCAGAAGGGCAGTAAATCCTGAAAAGTTCAGTCTGCGTAAGGTTTGAGAGAGGAGGAAGGGGACTCACATTTATGGAACATTTCTTCTGTACACAGTATCTTACATTTCCCTACCTCTCTTGTTATTGCAACAATACTTCTAAGTGGGTTTGTCATCATCATTTTCTGGAAGAGGAAACAGACTCACTGACGTTAAGCAATTTACAAAAATATCACACAGTAACTAGGAGAACAAGAGTTCATTGGCTTTTAAAAGAAATATTTATTGAGCACATGTTGTGTAGCAGGCATTGAAGACACATAGTAGGACACGGCCTTGCAATGCAAAAGAACATTCCAATACGGTCTGACGGGCCTGTCTAGGAGGTGAAATAACATGCAGAGTTAAGACTTCCTCAAGAAGATGTCTGGTCCTGATGGAGTATGAGTAGTGGTCATGTGGGGATGGGGAAAGCATTCAGTCAGAGGAAAGGAACTGTGCACAACCACTTTGTTGTTGTTGTCAAGTGCCATCGAGTCGGTTCCGACCCGTAGAAACCCTATACAGGGTTTCCGAGGTTATAAATCTTTACGGGAGTAGAAAGCTTCATCTTTCTCCCGCGGAGCAGCTGGTAGTTTCGAACCGCTGACCTTAAGGTTCACAGCCCTATTCGTAACCACTACGCTACCAGAGCTCCTTTTAGGGGAGTGCAAATGACTCAGTGTGGATGAAGTATACAGTGTTTTGGGTGAGGTTGGAGAGGGATGTAAGACTTCAGAAGCGGTCCTACTGGCACAGTGGGTTAAGTGTTGGGTTGCTAACCTCAAGGTCAGCAGTTCAAACTCACCAGCCACTCCAAGGAAACAAGATGAAGTTGTCTGCTCTTTTAAAGATTTACAGTCTCGGAAACCCTTAAGAGCAGGTAGACCTACAGGGTTTTGGTGTCAGAATTAAGAATTAATAATCAGATTCTGATTACGAGGTTCTAGTATGTATATTATTGGAGTCTTGATGTGGTGCTGTAAGACAAGTACTAGACCGAAAGTTCAGTTGAACCGCAAGTTCGGCGGTTCAAACTCACCAACTGCTCCTCGGAAACTTTATACAGGGTCGCTATGAGTCGGAACTGACTCAACGGCACTTAACAACAACAATATGTATATTATGCTAAGAGGTTCTGATTTAATTCAGAAATCAGTGTGGAGCCTCTGGAGAGGTTTAAGTCATGACTGTACTTGCATTTCAGAAAGATCCTTTTGATGGATAAGAAGTGAGGGGTAGGAAGACTAATAAGAAGGCTGTCTCTGTGTTTCCAGGGAGAAAGGCTGAGGGTGTAAACCAAGGCAGTGACAGTGGAGCTGGAGCGGAAAGGACGGATGCCTGTATACCAGACTGACCAGTATCTTTACCAGACTGATGGAAAGAGAGAAAGAAAGGAAGGGGGTTAGAAAGACACCCTTGTTTCTGACTTGGGCAGCTGGGTATATGGTGGCATCATTCACAGAAATAGGGGAAACAGAAGGCGGAACAGATTTTGTGGGGGAAGATGGTGAGCTCAGTTCTGGATGTGTTGAGTTTGAGATGCACACGAGAAACGTAACTAATGCTATCTAGTAGGCAGACATAAATAATCAGAGCTCACCAGGCAGCTCATATGTTGCTTATGGCTACTTTTGTTCTGCAATGACAGAATTGACTAGGGGCAGAAGAGACACACAATCTGCAAAGTCTAATATATTTACTACCTGGCCTTTTACAGAACAAGTTTGCTGATCCCTGATTTACAGTGTTAACCATAGCAAAAGGTCAATAAAAATATGAACTAAATAAAGTAAGAACTAAACAACGTTAATTAGAATTGGCTATAGATTAGTAATGACTTTGGTAATGATTTTATTGTAGTGATAAAAGTAGAAACTGGACTTTGAGTAGTCACTTAATTTCTATGAGTCTCATTTTTTTCAGCTATATATTGGAGGTAATCAGAGCTACTTTCTTGATTTATTGTAAGGATTAGTGTTAGTTCATGTAAACCACAACATGGTGTCTGGCTTATAAATCAAAATCAAACCTACTGCCAAGGACTGGATTCCTACTCATAGTAACCCTATATTGATTGGGTTTCCGAGACTGTAAATCTTTCTTCTACAGAATCACTGGTGGGTTTGAACCACCGACCTTGTGGTTAGCAATCCAGTGCTCATCCTACAGCACCACTAGGAAAGGCTCCTTATAGTCTGGCTTCTAATATTTAATAAATGGAAGCTGTTGCTTTATTTAATCTGTTGTTAAATTTAAGTCATCATGTTGGTTCCAACTCACAGCGACCCTGTTAGGGTTCCCATATCTCACCTCTTTAATGAGACCTGTGCTGACCACTCTATTTATATTGTAACCTGTCTACCACTTTAACATCTCTAACCCTTTCATCCTATTCTTTTTCTAATAGAACTTTTCACCTCTGACATTCCAGAAAACATACTGACTGTGTTTATTGTTTGCTATTAGTCTATCACTAAAATGCAAACTCCCGAGGACTAAAATCTTGATTGATTTTACACATACTATATATTTCAAGTGTCTGAACAGTTACTGGAACATGGTAGGTGCTCAGTTAATATCTGTTGAATGACTAGATGAGAAACGAATTGGTGAGGGTTTTATTTTATTCTGTTCAATGCAGGGTGTACTCCCTTAATCTGGGGACCCATAATTTACCATCTCTGTACAATTCTCAACCATTATCTGTTTGAATACAACCTCTGCTTCACCTCCTCCACTTTCTATTTTTGGAACTCCTTTTACTATATATCAGTTCAAACACTCTATACTCAACATTGCCTAAATTCTCTCTCATATTTGCTATTTACTCAGTTCACTGTTTTATTCTAGGGCAGTTTTCTCTACTTTATTAGTAAGTCTCTTGTAAATTGTGTTTACTCTACTAGTCAACCTGTTGAATCTTTATTTCAACAATGATATTTTTTGGCAGCTAGAATTTCTATTTCTTCCCTTTTCCTTCCTGCTTTTTAAATTTCCTATCTTTCCCTGAACTTGTTTCATGGTCTCTAATCTTATCTTTATCACTTTGAGTATTTTAAATACTACCATTTTCAGATTCTTTTGTTATCTTTAACTCTTGGGATGCTAATTCTTCCATTTGTTTAATCAGCCTACTTTATATTCTAGTTAATTTCTTTGTGCAGTTTGTAATTTTGGATTGTGAGCTCACCTTTGATAATGGTTGTTTACCATGTGCTTCTGTCACGGACTTCAGCATTAGCAACTAAAAAGGCACCAAAAATATATCACTCTGGAGACTAGGATGAGAGGTGAGCATAAAGTGGGTGTTAGGGAATGGACTGCCAATTCACATTCTCATACTGACATTACTTGTGTAATCTTGGGCAAGTAACAATTTAAGTCTTAATTTCCTTATATGTAAACTAGAGATAGGAGTCCTAGTGATGCCAACAGTTAAGCACTCAGCTACTAACTCAAAGGTGACAATTCAAACCCACCCAGTAGCTCTGCAGAGAAAGCCCAGGAAACCTGTTGCTATTAAAGATTCTAGCCAAGAAAGCTCTTTGGGCCATTTCTACTCTGTCACATGGGTCTCTATGAGTCAAAACAAACTAGACAGCAAACAACAATAAAAACAACAATATGGAGACACGAATTCCTACTTTATATAGAGAGATGTGAAGAATTAGTGAGATAATGAACATAAGGAAATTAGTCCAACGTTTAACATGTATTAAGTGTTTAATAAATGACATAAATTGTTATAAATATGTGACAGCTGTTGTACCCCCATATTATGTATTCTCCTTGTATTGTGATATAAAGGAAACAGCTTCATGTTTATGAAACTAACTTCTGAATAGGCAGCCATTGCATTTGGACACTGTTCACACCTGTTTTATTTGCAACATATATTCATTACAGACAGAAAAAAAAACTCTCAAGAACACGTTTACTTGGCTTTTAGTCTTTGCTGAGGAGCACTGATGAGAGCTAAAAGAACGTTAAAAAATCATCCTTTTAAAAAAGTAAAGCCTAATTAGAGAGCAGGATCATTTGCCAATTATTTTTGATCATTAAAATATAGCAATAGGAAGAGCTCTTCTGTTGAAAGGAAAATGACCCAGATACATTTCTTCAAATATAAAAAATATTTAACTTCTTGACCATGTTTTCTCCTTGGTCATCAGACCCTTTCAAAGGCCAGAAATAGAAAAACAGAGAACTGGACTTAGAGCTAATGATCAGTAAATGATGTTGGTTTATTTGAAAAAGGGTCAGAGAAATAATCAAATTCTTAGACAGCAGAATTTCATTTTTATCATGTTTCTTTCAACCTTAAAACTCTTTCTAAATTGATGTTATTTCAGATTGTGGGTAAGGGAGTGCTAAAGAGCCACAATTAGTAAATGAAAACTGTAGGCTACTATCATTTATCATGGATGTATTGTTGTTGTTGTTGTTAGGTGCCATTGAGTTGGTATCGACCCATAGCGACCTTATGCACAGCAAAATGAAACGCTGCCCGATCTATGGACAACCTCACTATTGTTGCCACGTTTGAGTCCATCGATGCTGCCACTGGGCCAATCCATCTCTTTGGGGGTCTTCCTCTTTTTCTCTGACCCTCCACCTTACCAAACATGATATCCTTCTCCAGCGACTGCTCTCTCCTGATAGTATGTCCAAAGTATGAGAGACGAAGTTTGTCCATCTTGGCCTCTAAGGAGCACTCTGGCTGCACTTCTTCCAACACAGATCTATTGGTTCTTTTGGCAGCCCATGGCACTTTCAATATTCTCCTCCAACACCATAACTCAAAGGCATCAATTAGTTATCTGTAAATACTTCATAAACTAAAGATTATAATTTTAATTTTTATAAAACATTTATGAAGGTTTGAATGAAAAACTTACATAGAGATGCATTTTTAGGTTTTAATTACCTGATCTTCATAATCAGATCCTGTATCATTGATCTCTCCAGTGTCCAGCATCATGGATGGATCAAGGTCAACTGAACCTAAGATTAGGAAAGGAACAATTAGCTGGTGGAGGTTGTCTGTGTACAAACTTTCTTCCTCTAGGTTTCCATATTCCTTATGTTTACTTTAACTTCACAAACATTTCTAGACTCTCCATCTGCCGGGCTCTGTGTTTAAGTTGGATAAAGAAAATGCAAAGATAATTTGGAGATTGTCTCCACCCTGAAAAAGTCTTTCTTGTGGAGGAGAGTGATTTGTCAACAGTTAGGTTCAGAAAGTAAAAAAGAAAGTACTATTAATTTTGACCAGTAGTAGAGGTAATGGTGAAGTTGGAATTCTTCACAGAAGTTAGACTTGGCCAGGAGGACAAAAGATTTTCGAGTGTATAACAGTAACTGGGGTAGAAGCTACATCATGAATAAAGAACAGAATGGGGAAAGGGCAAGGGACTTCCAGAAATTGGATCAATGAGTTTTCTCACCCCATTAAAACGTGAGAAAATTTTTTTTAGATCACTGTAGTCCCTAAGGTGAGAAATATCAGGTTAACTAAATGTATTAATAGAGACATTTTTTTCCCTAGGTAGTACAGGTTATGGTAAATTGCTTGCTCACTAATCCCCAAGGTTCACATTTAAACTGGCAATTTTCATAATGGGGTTGCTGAAGCACAATTGATACGTCTTCCTCATTTAATGACTCTTTCCTGTTGGGAGATATATATCCTCTGACTAACCAGGAAGGTAGAATTCAGGGCTGCCCATAAAATGCAATGTACTATGTGCGAAAACAAACTAACCATATTTCAATGTACACTTGGCCTTGCTAAACGATTCTTGGTCAGAATATGCAATGAGTAATGTTTAATGAAAATGGCTTTTTAAAAGCATCTTACGCATTTCTCAGATACAGACCTTCCTCAGAGACGTTCCTTTCATCCAACAAGAGCCTCAAGGTATAGCCTCACAGTCTTTTCTCTTCTCCTATCCCTTTGGTTGGAATCGACTCGACGACACTTAACAACAACAACAAATCCCTTCAGTGGAGTTCTGGTGTGGTGCTGTGGATTAATGCATTGGACTGTAAAGTTGATTTGAACCACAAGGTTGGCAGTTCAAGCTCACTAGCCACTCCTTGGAAACCCTATACGGGACCCCAGCATTATACAGGGTCACTATGGGTCAGAACTGACTCAATGGCACTTAACAACAATCCCTGCAGTGGCTCCATATGAAAAGCACTGGACTACAAAGCACAAGGTTAGTGGTTCGAGCCCACCAGCTACTCTGTGGTAAAAAAATGAGGCCCGCAAAGATTTAAAAGACTCAGAAACCTTATTCAGGGTAGTGATGAGTCAGAATTGATTCAACACACTTAACAACATCAACAACAATCCCTGCTATTTACCAAACTAAGTATTGAGCACATTAACAAACAAAGTACTAAGCTGTTGTAACAGTATGGTTCATTGTGTTTGTACTTTTAAAATGTTTTAAAGAAAGGTAGCTTCAAAGTGGAGTTACTTGACTCTTCAAACCATTTCGGAGATGTAACCAACCCTCAAGTTGCCACATATAATTATATAGGTGTGTACAACACAAATCTAAGATATATTCTCGGAGCAGCCCTTATCAATTCTATTGTTAATAAAATAGTTATCAGAATGGACTAGAGGAGACTATACAAAGTTATTAACACAATGAGACTAGAAAGGTGATAAGCAAGACTTCAAACCGGTTCTTTCTGGTTCAGTCATGGTTGACAAAGTGAAACCAGAATGAACCTAACTTTGTAAAATGTGGATACTGGAATGATAACCAAAATAGGAAAAATCATGGCCTGGTGCCCTGTTAGAAACTTAATCTCTCTCTTAGAAAACAAGGGCAGTGTGTGTGTCACAAAGCAACCGAATCTCTTAACTGGAAGAGTTAAAAACAATAGTGCCCTACTCAAAGATAGTAGTAGATGGTGCTACTACAATCCTGACAATAATCCTTTCTCCCATATCAGGCAACTGAAAGGGTTTACTATGCCTCTCTTAATCTCTCATTTCAGGGCTTTGATTCAATTTTTCCCATTTCAGTTATAGTTTTGGTAAGACCGCATTTGACAAATTCAGGTCTGTTCTAACTTCACTGTGTTGACTGTGACTAACCTGCCTGGTACTGATTTGAAGCCCTGGTTATAAAAGAGACTTTAATTTTCATATATAATTTTTAAAGTAGTAGAATTACATACAATCGTCTTTGCTCTTGGTATTCTTCAAATAAAAAAGCTTATGTAAGTGGTATCCTCACTGTCCCAAAGCCTAGTATGATGGTCAATTTGCATTTATGTATTGTGAGGTAGTGAAGTTCTGTTGCACATTTTTCCATAATAAGGCCATAGACATTGTAGTACCAGAACTGCATAGAATTCTACCTCTTCATTTTGGAAGAGAGGAAAAAGAGATGCAGAGAAATTTTGACCAATGAATGGGATGGAACACTGAAGCTATAGCTCCCATTTCTTTTTTAAACAAACCCTGCTGCCTCCAAATTCTAAGCAGAAGAAATCCAAATGATTTTGTAAATAATATCTTTCAGCATAGTACGCTGTAAGAATAAAGGAATTGGAGGAGTATGCCATCTATTTTATATTCTGAAAAGATGAGCAGTAGTGAGAGACTTATGAGATGGGTCACTGGGTGGCTGCAGGAATGAAAGAATCCACCGCGGAATCAAAACCTCTCGCTCTAGCTTGTGATAATCAGTGTTCCTTTTTAGGTGGCTGCTACTGACAACTTCACTAAAGGTAGTGTCAGTTTTATTTAGCTTCCGTTATTCCTGCAATATGGATATTTTCTACCACTGACTAGTAGAAGTGGTGATAGGTACTTGAAATCGAAAGATATCCTTACCTTAGCTGCATGTAGAGAGAGTCGGGTAGAGTAAGCGACATGATCTGAACACAAGGGCTTAGTAAGCACATATCTGTTTTTAGTTCCTATGTCCTACTTAGGCTATTAAATGAGAATCTGTACTTATGGTTGTTTTTAAAAGTACAATGAGAAGGGCTCGTAAACAAACCAATTACAGATATTACACATTAATAATTGAAACTGGACCAAGATTATTAGAAAACTATTTACAACAATGATAGAATAAAAAGATCATTGTTAAGAGGCAGAGAAAAAATAAAAAATAAACAAGCCACATATAGACAAACACACAATCAAATTTATGCTTATAAGGAAGAAGAGATTAGTTTTCTTAATAAAATGCTGTCAACAGACATTTTATTATATCATTGAGGGATGAAATTTCTTGACACGTTGTTGCCCTAGGCAACAGTATTTATATATCATAGAAGGCAATAGGCAAAGGATATCATTATCAGCTCAGATAATGATTGAATAGCTTTCATTTTCTTTCAGCACTGGTTGCTTGGTTTGCCGAAAATGTAGTCCTTATTAATAGCCCAAGGTTTGACATACAAAATCGGGAGGTAAATATAGACAAATGCACACATTTTTGCCCTCTTTTGTTGGACACTTTAATGCATAAAACAACTGTAATGCTTTTGTTATTCAAAAAAGATACAAAAATGGGACAGTATATTTTTTAAAAAGTGATAGTAAGGCTTTCTCTTCCCCTCTCATTTGCATTTTTCAATTTCTTTTCAAAGTTTAAAATATTCTTTCTATAGATACTGAACTTAAGAACTCACAGAGGGTACTGTATCACTACTCTTAGATGTAGAATATTTTTGGAAACATTGTTTTCAGGTTGTCTCCTTAAATTTAATGGAAAAGATGACACAGTTCAGCTTTCGAGGCGTCAAAAGGTTAATCATATTGCTTTCTGTGACAATTTTACATTCTTTTTTCTTCCAAGTGGATTTTCAATCAAGGAGGAAGATGCTCCTTCCACTTCAAGCTCTAAATAAAGAGACACTCCCACAATGCAGGGCTTCTTGGGTAGTAAGGATGTTTGTTTATAAATAAGAATCTGATAACATTTTATCTGCTACTCTCTAAGGGAAGCATTTATTCTCTTGTTCTCTTCCACTAAACTGTAAAATGCTTGAGGGAAGACCACAGCCTTCAGTATGGATTGCAACTCAATGTAAAGAAATAAAAAATCCTCACAACTGGTAATAAATTACATCATTATAAATGGAGAAAAGATTGAAGTTGTCAGTGGCTTCATTTTGCTTGGAACATAATCAATATTCATGGAAGCAGCAGTCAAGAAGTCAAACAACATATTGTATTAGGCATATCTACTGCAAGAAGACCTCTTAAAAGTGTTAAAGAGCAAAGATGCCACTTTGAGGAATAAGGAGTATATGATCCCTAGCCATGGGATTTTCTCACCTCAGATGCATTTGACAGTTGAACAATGAATAAGAAATACTAAAGAAGAATGGATGGATTTGAATTATGGTGTTGACAAAGAATATTGAAAATACCATAGCCTGCCAGAAGTAAAAATAAATCTGTCTTGGAAGTAGTACATCCACAATGCTTCTTAGAAGCCAGGATGGTAAGATTTCGCCTCATACTTCAGACATGTTTTCAGAAAGGATCAATCCATAGAAATAAATACCATGCTTGCTAAAGAGGAGGGTTGATGAAAAAGAGGAGATGGATTGGCACACTGGTAGGAACAATGGGCGCAAACAACAACAATAGTGAAGATGGCACAAGACCAGCCATTGTTTCATTCTGTTGTGCATAGGGTCACTATGAGTGGGAACAGACTTGGTGACACCTAACAACAATAACAAATGCAAGACCTACTTTACCAAAAACCAAAAAATCAATAAGACCTACTTTACCAAAAACTGAAACTCATTGCCACTGAATTGGTTCTGAGTAACAGCAACCGTACAGAATAAGGTAGAACAGTCCCATAGGGTTTCCGAGGCTGAATTTACCAAAGCAGATTACCACATCTCTTTCCTGTGGATAACTGCTGACTTGTCAGTTAGCAGTGGAGCTCCTTTAACCACTGCATCACCAGACTTATACCAGGCACTGAGAATCCATCCTGATT